TGCCAAGTCAAATATTTCATTGAATTAAAATATGTCTGGCTTGGCGGGGGTGGGGGCAAGAAATAACATTACAGGGTTGTTTTTAAGTATCAAAAGATATGAAGGATGTGAAAATAATTTATAAAGTTAAACGATTGTATGTAAGGCCTTGTCATTGTTAAACTCAGTGACAAATCCAGACTGTTAGTAGTTCCTTACTCATTTTTCTAAAGATGGCCTATATTCACTTATGTTCCATTTTTGTAAATCAAAGAAATCTCTATGATGAAGTTCATCTCAGTGGAAATGACAGTATTAAAAGTACTGTTATAGGAAGGATTGATTGTGGCATCCATTAGGAATCTAATGTTTGAGGGGATAGAGAAGGCTGTATTAACACAAGAAGGACCAAGTGTGTCAATTGACACAAAAATTTGCTTAGTCCTTTGAGGTCTTCCTTAATTGCACAAATCAATCAATCAAAACACACATAATGTTCTCTTTTCTAAGCCCTCAAGCTTCTCTACCTCTCTACAGTCTTTGACATTGTTGACCATCCCCTCCTCCTGGAAGTCTTCTCTGCCCTGGGTTTTTATGACACTGCCTTCTTCTGGTTCTCCTACTACCTGGCTGACATTTGTAAGAATGTTACCCATGTCCTGTCCCAGTGTACCTCAGGACTCCATCTTGGGACTTCTCTCTTTATACTCTCTCATTTGGTGAGAGCTCCCAAGGGATCAACTATTATATCTACACAGCTGACTCTCCAATCTACATATTCACCTCTTACCTCTCATTTGAGCCCTAGGCCCACATCATTAACTACCTTCTGACCTTCTCTACCTGATATTCCCTAGACATCTCAAATTCTCTAAAGTGGAGTTTGTTATCTTTCCCACTAATCCTGCCCCTCCTAATTTCCCTATTTATGTTGAGGGTATCATCATCCTTCCAGTCACTCAGGCTCATAATCTAGGAGTCATCCTAGATAAACTCTTCACTCTCACCTCACTTCCTGTGTGCAACTATTTACTAAGTCTTGTTGATTCTGCTTCTACTTTTACTGCTTTTAGAATTGGAAGAAACTTCACCAACCATTTAGTTGAATCCATACATGAGAGAAATCTTTATTATAATATATCTAACAAGAATGGTTATTAGATCTCTACGTGGAGACTTCTAAGGAGAGAGGACCCCTCACCATTTGACACAGTCCATCCCACTTTAGGATAGCTCTAATTGTTGGAAAGTTTTTTTCTGATTTAAAAAGTAAATTTGACTTTTCGACTTTTCCCTGATTCTGCCCTCTGGAGTCAAAGAGAACAAATCTAAGCCGCCTTTCCACATCACATGATAGGTTGTCAAATACAGTAAGACAGCTATTATGTCCCCCATTCTCTTCCATCTTCTCTTTTACTGGCTAAAGATCCCTGGGTACGTCGACTGATCTTTCAAATTTCATGGACTCAAGGAATTTTACTGTCTGGGTTGTCCTTTGCATGCTCTTTAGCTTAGGGGGATGGAGGAGTGGAATAAGCATTCATATAGCAACTACTACGGGCCAGGCACTGTGCTAAGTGCTCTACAAATATTTTTTCAGTTGACAACCTTTCAAGGTAGGTGCTATTATTATCCCCATTTACATTTGAGGAGATAGAGGAAAACAAAGGTTAAGTGACTTGTCCAGGTTTAGTGTCTGAGGCTGGATTTGAACTCAGACCTTCCTGTCTCCAGGTCCAGTGCTCTATGTACTGCCCCACCAGGTGCCCAAGTTATCATGCCTGGAACTGAGCACAATACTCCAGATGAGATCTGATGAGGACATAGTATAGTAGTACTATCACCTCTCCATTCCTGGAAGCTGTACTTCTCTTAATACAGCCCTAATGACATTGGTTTGTTTTTTTGTTTTGTTTTGTTTTTGTTTTTTGTTTTTTGCTGTCACAATATACTGCTGATTCATTTTGAGCTTGTAGTCCACAGACATTTTTTCAGAACAATCACAATTTAACAACCATACCCCCCCATATTGTACTTGTGATTTTTTTGTACCCAAGTATAAGACTTTATATTTATCCCTACTGAATTTCATCTTATAGATATAGCCCAATGCTGTAGCCTGTCAAGAGCATTTTGAATGCCAAGTTATCATCCATTGTGTTAGAAACCCACCCCCACTTTGTGTCAAATGCAAATTTGATGAATCAGCTAGTGTTTATTGAGTCATTAATTAAATTGTGAAAGCACAGGACCAAGCACAGATCCCTTAGATATACCCCTGGACACTTCCTTGCCATATTGGCAATGAATCCAACCAGTTCTGAATCCTTCTATTGTATTCAATTAACTCACATCTTTCTATCTTCTCCACAAGAAGGGTGAGGTACTTTATTTAAAAAATAAAAGGTAAACTATAGCATTTGCCTCATCTACTAGTATACTAGTTCTGTCTAAAAAGGAAATGAGGTCGGTTTGGCATGACCTGGTATCAATGAAGCCATTCTGGTTCTTTGTAATTACCACTTCCCTTTCAATATATTTGCAAAGCATCTCTTTAATGATCCAGTCTAGAATTTTACCAGGATTCAAAGTCAAGCCTACTGTCCTATAGTTTGCAGACTCTGTTCTCTTCCTTTAAAAAAAATCACATTTGATCCCATTTGTACTGTGTTGAGTTGGCATTGTACAGAAATTAACAGCCATATTGGTCTAGAAATGTTAAACTAAATTTTTTTTTCCATTTGTACAGGGGTAACACACTGTATTAAATGTGTAAGGTCTTATTTACATAGGTCTTATTTACATTAGAAACTAATAAAATATTCTCTAAATAATGTAAAAAAAAATCACATTTGTCCTTCCTTAATCTTGTGATACTTCTCCAATCTTCAGTGATTTTCAAATATTACTCATGGTGGCTGAGCAATCACATCTGCCCCTTCTTTCAGTACCATAGGTTGTAGTTCACCTGGGTCAGGTGATTTGAATTCATCAAGGGCAATTAGGTGTTCTCTTTCTATCTCCTTACTATCTTGGATATCAGCTCCTTGTGAGTCATTTTTTGTTCTTTCATTTCTAGTGCAAAGGGCACTCTCTTTGGCAACTGAATAATAAATGACTATTGCTGCCTTCTCTTTGATGTTATGTGTGATTGTCCACAAGACTTGCATACATAACCTTCTCTTTGCTTACTTAACATCCCAGTTCAGATCCTCTGCTCCTTGATTGGACTATTATAATATCCTTCTTATTAGTTTCCCTGAATCTAGCCTCTTTCCTCTTCATTCTGTCTTCCACATAGATATTCCACAATCATTAATCTGACCATGAAACTTCTCTCTTCAAGAAGCTCCATTGGCTCCGTCTTGTCTTTGGGTTAGAATATAGACTATATTTGGTTAAAGCCCTTTAAATTCTGATTTTAATATATTTTCCCAGATTGAATACACCTTGCTCCCCCTCGTGTATTCTACATTCTAGCCCTATTGGTCTACTTACTGTTTCTTATACAAAATAGTCCATTTCCCAACTCTATTGCTTTACATAGGCCGTTGTCCTTGCCTACAGTATCTTTCCCCTTGAATTCTGGTTCCTAAAGGTTTCACTCACCTTTAGGCAGCAAGCTTTTTCTATGTAGTTCTAGAAGAGAGGAACCAAAGACAAAGAGTGGAAGTTAAAGGGAAGCAGTTCCCTTTAGGTCTCAGCACAAGTGCCAACTCCTTCAAGAAACCTTTACTGATTCTTCTTTCCTAAAATTGCTTTGTATTGTATTTGCATTATTTTTTCTTTACTTGTCTGTGTACCTAGTACCATTTTCCCGACAATTGTGTCCTCTGAGTCTTTCCTTCTCCAGGCTAAATGTCCCTAAGTCCCCTGAGTCCCACCAGGGGTAGGGCTTGGATGAGACTGGCTGAGGGTCCTCCATGATCCATTCTGAATCTTCTTGAGGAAGGCAGCAGGGAAAAGCTATACTCAGAAGGCTACCACTCAGGGAGGGGCCTAAAGCACTAGGTCAATGAGGTCAATGGTTTTGAGTCAAGATTTGATTACTAGAAAGACAGGGTGCTGAGCCAAGGATCTAGAGGCTAGAAGAAGGGTGCTGATCAGGATTCAGTACCAAGATCAACAGAATTTAAAATGTGGACATACAGGTGTAAGCTGGGATCAGGAAGAATGCTGCAATACCAGAAGAATGAGCAGAGTTTAGAGGTTAGTGCAGAGTCCAAAGCAATTGGTTTCATTTGGCATCTTGTGGACATGTGCATGTTCATATGCCTGGGCCCATGAGACTGGCTCCACCTACTTTTTGCTCCTTCTTAATAAACTTCAATTGGAGCACTACTCACTGCTGCTAGTGTTGCATTCGGGACAAGCAGCCATACCTAAGTGTCAAGGGGCATGTCCTGCAACTTCCACTGACTTCTTTTGCCCCAGTCTACATCTCGTTCAAACTGATCCAAACTCTTTTTAATCTTAGACTCTTCTAAGGATCTCATTCTCTGGTGTATCTTGAGTGGATGCTTCCTACTTGTTGCAAAGGCAATCCTGGATTACTGGCACTAAAACTTTAATACTAAGAACTATTGATAAGTTCATATCAACACACTTTATAGTTGAAGGAAAAGTGGTTTCCTCCTCCACCTGCAATATAATCTTCCAGATCTCTGTGCTGTCTCTTAGCCTTTCTGCCTTTACTCGTTGCTCTGTAGATGTGGGAAAATATGGGCCCCATATGTGGAATTTAGTTATACATAGCTTTACAAAGAGTTTTGTTTTTTTTTTTTTGCTAGCCTCATCTAGTCTCATCCCCTTCTTTTACAAAGAAGGAAACAGGTCCAGGGAAGTAGACTCAGAGCATATTTGTTCAAGGTCTCACAGATAGTAAGTAGTAGAGCCAGGATTTATATCCAGGTCTTCTGACTCCAAATCCAGACATATTTGACCTTCCTCTATGACATCCCCTTCCCACCTTTTGAGATACACTTTGACCACAGTCTCCTCTTCCCTCTTTCTCTTCCCAGAAAGTCATGCCTACTCAGATGTCAAAGATTGATAACAACTTAAAGTATTATGTTTTCCATGGTGTGGTGGAAAAGATGACTGAATTTAGAGTATGAAGACTTCAGTTCAAATATCAGTTTAGCCATTATTGGTATGACATTCGACTATGGATTTGTATTCCTAGTTCCTGGCCTACAGTTGGAGCTTAAAAGGTATTTTTTCATTCATTCCAGGCCTCAGTCTCCTCATCTGTAAAATGAGGGTATTGAACTAGAAGACCACTATGGTTCCTTTCAGTTCTAAATCTATGAACTCTCCCTTTTCTCTTGTCATCTGCATTTCAGCAGGAGTCACAGCCTCAAGCCAAAGGAGTTAAGCCTGTATGGTGGGATTTTAGTCCTAAGTGGTAAGTGTATTTGGGGAGCAGAAAGGCTCCCTGTTGTATTCAAAGAATACCTTTTTCATTTTTAATTTTTTTCTACTCAGATATTTATTTTCTTTTCCTCCTACCACTCCTTCACTGGGAAAAAAAGAAAAACAAGACCATTTTTAACAAATATGCACAGTCAAACAAGAACAGATTCTGACACAAGCCACATCCTAAAAATAGGTGTTTTATTCTGTGTATTTAGTTCATCGTCTCTCTATCAGAAGGTAGATAGCCTTCTTAATTATCAATCCTCTGGAATTATTGTTGGTCCTCATACTGATTAGAATTCTCGAGTCTTTAAGAATTGTTTGTTTCTATGATGTTATAGTATAAATCAAGAGTATTTTTTGGGCAGTTGCCTATCCAGCTATGTGTTTAGCTCATCTTGGCCATGGAGATTCTATTTGGCCTACAAAATCTACACTGAGTGTGTGTGTATATCTGGAGTTACTAGCTCTCTTCCAGCTATTCTATTTTCAAACAAATACTCAACAAAACCAATCAAGAAGGCAGTATAACAGAGACAAAATAATAAATTTCTTTTTTTTTCTAATCCACTCCCACGCCCCAGCTAGAAGAGATCCCATTCTGCTGTGGGCTCTTAGAACACTTTGTGCCTTTCATGCCCATTCATACTTTATGTTATAGCTATTTATGTGCATGTCATTTTCCCCTATAATACTTTATTTCTGCATCCCCCACATTGCTTAACTCTGGACTTTAGTAGTCATGCAATGACCTGGGTGTCACATGGTCCTGTTGTCCTGTCTTTTTTATATCTATCTATCCAAGAACTTGCATGAAGCCAGCATTGAGGGCTGCTCGAAATACAACCTTGTAGCAGCCCAGAAAGTCATTGCCCAAGTGGTTCCCTCCCACTTCCCATCACACATACCTTTTTTCTTTCTCTCTCTCTTACTGGCTAGACTAGTCCCAGATCAGTAACTAATGAGTTGTGTTGGGAAAATCATTTGGGCACAATGTCCTCATCTATAAAATAAAGGAGTTGGACCTTTAGGGGCCCTCCTAACACTGAACTTCTATGCATTTTCTCATTCTGCCTTCTTTTTCCTTCTGTTTTTCCCTTTTTTCCTTTATCTCTCCCTCCCACCTTCCACCTGCTTAGTTGTTAGGGCTAGAAAGATCACTGATCTTTGTACCAGTTCATATCTATGGCAGATAATAATGGGGAGCACTCTTAGACTGCTTGAGGCCTGTTGACCTCTCCTTTTAATAACCTCTCAGCCCCAGGAGGTCATGGCCTAAAAGGAAGAAAATGTACAGTGTTCTCTACTGTGGTCTGTGCATTAGGAACTCAGAGATGATGGTAATGATACAGAGGAAAAGGTGAGAAAGTGGGTCTTCCAAGTATTCACCTCATTCCCTTGTTGCTGATGCTAGAAGCATATTGGTATCTGAATGGAATGAATCCTTGGCCTGTTTCAGCATCAGGAAAGTATACTTGAAATTGTGCCAGAGTGTTTTAAAAATATTTTTATTTCTTATGGGATACTAATTCACAGAGGCAAGTAAGGATATCTTTTTTATAAGTGCACCCTGCCAAACACTCATATTAAAACAATTGCATGAAATTATAATCTACCTAGAATAGCCAAAAGTGTAATCAGAGGCTATTTCCATATAACTACAGACTGAAACCACTAGTCCTAGACAGGCAGGAACATGACAATAAATAGTAGCAAGAAAACTGCCCCAGACTTTTGATACCATTGCATCATCCTTTAGGTGGAATCAAGCTTATGATTCATAAACCCACAGAAAGTCAGAGCTGAAGAGACCTTAGATTTAATCTAATTCAAACATCTCATTTGACAGAAGAGGAAATAGAGAGGGGAAGTGATTTATCCAAGGTTATGTGTTTAGTCAGTGGTACAACCAAGATTAGAATCAAGTCTGCTTTTGTGTGTAAGTTTTCTCAGCTATCTCAGTCCTGATACTCTGGTCTTTTGAGGATCTATCTCCCCTTTTATTGGCCTGGATTCAAGGCTGTAGTGATGTTATCTAGGATATCTATGCCTTCCATAATGAGATGTCTTCAAAAAGACACAACGAAAAGAAATTTCATTGTTTAACTTTGTCATGCTGACAAGACTACTCATTAATATGCTGTCTATCATTTCAATGAGGATATCTGCATCTTATATAGAGATATCTTTAGACTACTCCTAGTCACATCCTCTATATTTTTTTCCTTCAATTAAACATTTTGTGATCCATGCAAATCATACAAGGGTGTCTCTGGGTGCATTTACTTGCATCTCCAATTCTATATTTCTCTCTGGGGACTTGGGAAGGCTCTAGGACAGGGGTTTTTTAACTGAGGTCTCTCAACAACTTGTTTTTAAATGAATATTTTGATAACTATATTGGTTTTATTTATAATTCTATGTGTTTTATTTTATCTGTTTAAAAACATTATTCCAAGAGTAATGCATAGGCTTCACCAGACAATAAAGAGGGTCTATGACATGAAAAAGAATACTTGTTCTGTGGTCATGCAGCACAAAAAGTACAGAACTTTCCCTCTTTTCCTGAACACCTCATCAGTGTCTTACCTTACTTACCTCTCATGCACAGCTATGATGCTCTTGTTATAGTTCTTAGATCCTTCCAAAATTAAAAATCCTTTGTGAGGGTACATATGTACCATAACTGGGAGAGCCTGGCACTTAACATTCATCCTCAGTATATATAATATAGTACAATGTTATATATTACATATACAATATATATGTTATATATACAACATAAAACGTGTTACATATACAATAGAACAACATAATACAATGTTCTACTAGTCTCATAACTACCTTGATATTTGCAAGGGTCTGCAATAAATTTTTAAAAAATAAGAAGAAGAAAGATTGAAGACAAAAGGAAAAGGGGACAGCAGAGGATGAGATGGATAGATTATACCATGGGAAAAAAATGAACATGAACTTGGATAGACTTAGAGAGACAGTGGAGGATAGAAGGGCCTGGCTTGCTATAGTTCATAGGGTCACAAAGAGTCAGACGTGACTGAACAACAACAAACTGTATAAAACAAAATATAACTAAAATAAAATAGTAACAAAAGAAATATATGAGAAACAAAGGAAAAAAGTCTACACCACTCTTTTCAAGAGGGAAGTAATTGGCATTGCTAAGGAGTCAAGCAAAAACCCTTCCCACGGATGTGGAGTTCATAGGGATCCTAGATGAGACTCCACAATGTAAGCATTCCACTGATATGTTTAGGTTACTGGAACTTGTTCAAGTTCATAATTTATTCAACCACCGCTCACAAGCCCCCATTTTCCTCTAAACCTAGATAAAGCTAATACTCTAGATAAATCACATGGTATCATAATACTGCCAGACAACATTTACTTAAAATAGAATGCAAGGTATATAACAAGAAATATGCATCCAGCAGGGAACGTGCTCACCATCCATTTTCCTAACTACAATATCCAAAACTTTCCAGAAGTGTAAGTTTTAAGTCCTCACATCTCTGGTCTCCTTGCTGATTTGTCTCTTTAACATTGTAAAGCAACAGAATAGGAGAAATGGTTTTTTTTAAAGTCTTCTCTCTTTGTAGTCTGCTTTCTGCAATAATAGCAACCTAGGGTAGGATAAATGGTACAGTGGATATAGTACAAGGCCTGGAGTCAGGAAGACCCATCTTGCTGAGTTCAAATCTGGCCTCAGACGCTTACTAGCTGTGTGACCCTAGGCAAGCCACTTAACCCTATTTGCCTCCATTTCCTCATCTGTAAAATGAGTTGGAGAAGGAAATGGCTAACCATTCCAATATCTTTGCCAAGAAAACCTCAAATGGAGTTACGAAGAGTTGGACAGGACTGAAACGACTGAACATCAAGAAGGAGAAGACAGAAGGGTATGGGTGGTTTGCCCAGTGACTGAACCCAAGGGCATTAGTATCTGAAAGGCATCAGAACCTGAAAGTGGATCTGTGAAATCTTGAAATCTTGCATATATACCTTTACAGGAAAGGAACTCCATCTTCGGGAATGTCTGGAGCCGTTGCTTCTTAGCTCAGGAGAGGGAAGGTCTTCTATTAGTAGCAGCAAGAGTTAGACAGAACTACAGAGTATCTTTCTGGCTCCTCTTCTTCCAATTCCCTGCTTATCTCTTCCCTTCTCCTATATTTCTCTCTCAGTTCACGCCCAGCCTTTCACCAGCAGACACTGCCATCCAACCAGATTCCATGTGGGCATAGCATCATTACTTGCTACGCTCCCCACAGGCTTCTGGGGGACGAAGTTTTCCAGGAGAATATAGTCCTTCTACCCTACTAAAAAAAAAAAAAGGAAAAATTCTCCTAAGTTTCCCATCTAACTCCTCTCTAACATGTGTGGAAAAATTCAACTCTATAATTTCTGGCCTGAATCATGACAAAGAAAAATGCCATTCTTAGGATACTGTAAGGGCTATCCTGTACTACCTCCAAGATATGGAAACCCCAGAGCTTTATACAATATATTCATACATTCACTGAATTCTGGGTTGTTCAAAGTCTTTAAACACATAAGGAAGCTGCAGTGTAACAAATTTAATTCCTATGTGCTTATGTCCTTGTATTTCTTTATAATTCTACTCTTTCTAGTGAACAGTGATTGTTTCCCATTCTCACCCAAGTTCTTAACTCTTTTTCCATTTCTAATTCAACAAACCATTACCGAGTGCCTGCTATGTACACCCTTCTGTTGGCCTTAACATTTCTTAGAATATTTGTGATGGGAAGGAACTTCAAGATCACGCAGTTCAGTGCCTCAACTTTGGAGTAATTCTTGGCTCTTTCCTTTCCTTTGTCCCCAATATTCAAACAATTACAAAATCATGCCATTATCTATCTCCTCAATATCTTTACTAGTGGAAAGAACATGGATTTGGAGCTGGAGGACCACAGTTCAAATCTGAGCTCTAAAACATGTCTTTTGTGACTGGGCAAATCACTTAATCTTTTTATGTGCCTCAGCTTCTTCACATATAAAATGAGGCAAACTAGATTGATCTTCACATTCTTTTACATCTCTTAAGTTACGATATGATCATCCTAGGTTTCTTTCCACTTACACTACTTAGTCCAGGTCTTCAGTACCTCTCTCCTGGACTATTGAAGTAGCTTGCTAACTACATTTCTGTTTATCAACTTAATCTTTGTCTGATACCAATAAGATTATAGGTTATAGAGTCTATCAGGACAGAAACTTTCAGCTCAGGACCGAATCTGGCAACCAGCAGAACAGACAGCCACACGTATAGTTATTTGAGAAGCACTACTGGGTCTCAGTGGCTCCAAATACCCCCCTCAAAAATGCCACAGTGCTACCCTTTTTGATTGCATTGCCAGAAAGTCCCACTATTTGAATCATGAATAAATCAGACAGCAATGAAAGGGACCTTGTCTCCTGTGAAAGTGCACCAAGTTAACTTGGAAAGGTCACAGACCAGAGGTCTTAGCCATCCTCCATGAACACACATGGATTAACTGATCAGATTAGATAGCTGTCACAGAAGTCAAGGTCTTGAGATCTGAAAGAGGCCTGAGGCAAATGGCACGATTTGGGAGGGTACTTCTTTCAGGAAAGTGATGTTGGGTATTGATGACTGACATTGTTTCTTTCACAATTCTGTTTAGGGCTAGCTAGCCCTGTCGTTGTAGTTAGGATGAAGGATATGGCACCTTCACTATGCAGTCCTCATCTGGCAATTATACTGATCAGTGAAAAAGAAAGCTTGGAGCAGTGATGTTTGCAAGCTTAATTAATGACCACATCACAACATTTATATATTTATTCATGTATTCGTTTGTTCATTCAACACTTACTAAATACCTAGTATGATCAGAGAGGCAGAATTTTGCAGTAGAAAAAGCTCCATACTTTTTTTTCTTTTTTATTGTGAACTTAAAGATCAACAAACATGAACATCTTGGTATGAAGAACAAAATAAAGGATTGCATATGAAACTGTGAACTTTGGTTTAGTACAGTTTTTTTAAAAGTGTACATTAAATTTAATGATGTTCCCATGTTATCATATAACAAAATTGCCAAGCTTGTCTGTGTCTTCTGAACTTGTTTCTTCTCTATTCTGTCGATTTTTTAAATGTTTAATTGAAAAAAAGGGCCCTGTACTTTTCAGCAAAACACTGACAAGGTTTCTCATGTTATCCTTCTGGACAAGACAGAGACATAGTTAGAGGACAGTATAGGTGGATTTGTACCTCATTGAATGAACACTCAAATATCAACTTGAAATGATTTCTTTAGTGGAGTATACCAGAGATTTGTACTTGGCTCTGTGCAGTTCAATATTTTTTGCCAGTCACTTGTATGATGCCATAGCATATTTATCTTTTTTTTTAGAACATTCAATGTTATTTTGTTTTTAGTTCTAAATTAACTCCCTTCCCTACCCATTGAGAAGGCGAGAAATACAGTATCAATTACACAGTCATATGTATTAAAGTTGCAGATGACACAAAGCTGGGAGGGATAGCCAATGAATAAATTGGATAACAGAGTTTAGAACCCAAAAGATATAGACTGAATTGCATAAGATAAAAGGAAAAAGGAAAAGTGTAAAGTTCTACATGAGTTCAAAGAATCAACTTCACAAATAAAGGGTTGGTGAGATGTGGCAAGACAATAGTTACTGTGGAAAAAAAAAACTCTCTGGATTTTAAATTTAGTACTACAAATTCAATTTGAGTAGATAGTGTGACATAGTGGCCAAAAAAAACCCAATGTTATCCTAGACTGTATAAGCGGCATAATGTCTAGGATGAAGAAGTTAATAATTCTGCTTTATTCTGGCCTGTCAGGAAACATTTGGAATACTGTATTCAATTCTGGGCAGCACATTTGGGAAAGAAAACTGGAGTGTATCCAGAAGAGGACAACCAGGCCGGTGCGAAGACTAGAGAACATTCCATAAGAATTATCAGTTGAAGAGACCGGAAATGTTTAGCTTAAAAAAGAGATTTCAGGGATGAGGGCATGATAGTTGTTTTTGAATATCTGGAGGTGAATATCTGTTTGGCCCCAGAGGGAAGAATGAAGCACTGAGTAGAAGGTAAGAGAAACAGTTTTATGTTTAATGTAAAGCAAAACTTCGTAACAATTAGAGTTTTTCAAAAGTGAAATTGAATGCTTTGGAAGGTACTGTATTTCTTTTTGCTGGAGGTTTTCAAATAGGAACTCAATAATCATATGTACATAGACTTAAGAGTGGAAACAGACCTCAGGGACTATATAGTCCAATGTTTTCCTTTTACAAATGAGGAGATTGAGACCCTTAGAAGTTAAGTGACTTGCCCAAGGTCATGCCCACTAGGAAAGAGCAGATTTGGGATCTGAATTGAAGTCAGTTACCTCTCCTTTATCTTTACCATACTGCAATCACCAGTTAGAGATATTAAAGAAGAGATTCTTGCTCAGGTACAGTTTGCACTATACAGTTCGGACTAGAGCTCCTTTCAGCTCTTATATTACAGGAGTCAGAAGATGTAGACTGGAGTCTGTGGGACCCTCTCCCGGGTTGTTGTTGTTGTTTACTTGTTTCAGTCATGTCCAACTCTTTGTGACTCCATTTGGGGTTTTCCTGGCAAAGATACTGGAGTGATTTGCTATTTCCTTCTCCAGGTCATTTTACAGATGAGAAACTGAGGCAAACAGGGTTAAGTGACTTGGCCAGGGTCACACAGCTAGTAAATATCTGAGTCTGGATTTGAACTCATGAAGATGAGTCTTCTTGGTTCCAAGCCCAGTGCTCTATCCATTTTGCCATCTAGCTGCCCTGCTCTTTGGTCACTTAATAAGTTAATGAGTTTTGTACTTTTGACCACATTATTTAACCTCTCTCAATCTGTTTCCTTATCTGTAAAATAGAAATAATAACATTTGTCCTGTCTATCTCACTGTGCTGTTGAGAGGAAAGGACTTTGTAAATTTCTATATAAATTGTCAACTATTATTAGACAAAAACCCCTGGATTATATCTAGTATTCAGTACTATTTCAGGGAGAAGAATTTATGTGACATGGTCCCTGTCCTTACAGAATTTACACCTTAGAAGAAGAAATGACATGTATATAAGTAACTATGACAAATGCATATGAGAGGCATGAACTAAGTGCTATAGAAATTCTAAGGAGAGATTTATCACTTCTAACAGAGGAGAAGAGGCATCTGGGAAGACTTCATCCTAGAAGTGGCATCTGAGCTGGGACTTGAAGGATGGTTGGAATTTCAACAGTCAGATGTAAGAGGAGAATTCCTCAGGTGAATAAGGAGAGGAAAGTGTGGCACAGAGTCTGAGTTCAATTTGGCTGAAGTTTAGAGGACGTGATAGGGATTAATGAAAGCTAAGCTTGGAAAGGTAGGCTAGAGAAATACCATACTGGGCCTTGGATGTCAAGCAAAGAAATCTCAAATTTATGTGCTAAGTTTTAGAGAACCACTGAAAGTTTTTGTTTTTTTTTGAAGCAGTAGGGTGCCATAATCAGAACTTTGCTTTAGGAAGAATTACTGATAGCAGTGTTAGGATGACTAGGAAAAGAAACAGTGGAATACGGAAAGTAGCAAGGAGGTCCAACTCTAATGTCTACAAACTTACTAGATTGTGAGTTCCTTAGGGTCAGGAGTATGTTTTATTTCATTCTATGAAACTCTGCTACTGCCCACAGCTAATTTCCCTCTCCAGTAAGGGATTTTCCTGTACTGGACCCATGCACATGGTTTGGTCCTTTTATACCCATCTTAAAGAAGGGTCAGGTTCTTCTCTTTGACTCTTTCTATCTCATCCCAGAACCCAGAGAAAATTACTTAAAGCTTAGGTTTTGGCCCATGTCTAGTGTCTCCCCAAAGAGAAGGGAGAGAAGCAAAATAGTTAACTTACATTTTGGGTCTGGAGAGGACAAATATTTATTTTCTCTACGCAAATGAAATGCTAAATATATAGGTTCTCACAAGCATGAATTAATAAAAATTTAAAGCAAGGTACAGTAATCTGTAAGTACTGTTATACTCTCCCAGAAGGTTAACAAACATTAGAATATAATAGGGAACCTAATATGGGACTGCTATATAGGAATTTTGAAATTCACCTTGGTCTTATGCTGTCCAAATAAATCTCTCCTATGTCTTCTGGCCAGCCTGGCCAAGGAGTTGAGCTTCTTTCTCTGTCAGTGGTCATTCTTTCTAAAACAGAAACTCTCTCTGCTACTAGTCAACTCTGACCCAGGGGCCCAGGATCTCCAGACCTCTTGAACTCACAAAGTTATCTCCAAGGCGATATACAACCATCTCAAGATCACTATTCAGTCACCCATGCTCAGGGAAGGAAACACAAATTAGAAAAGGTAGCCAGGGCCCCAAAGCTTAGGCTAAATCCACATGTGTTTTAGCTATGATGTATTTACACTTCGCCATTTTCCCCAGGGTGTAGGAAAGGGTGCCACCCTTCTCTCACCTTCTCATGGGAAGCCAGAGAGATCTGCTTGCCACATAGTAGAGTCAAAGGAAGAGAGACAGAGGGCAGAGTCACAACCATTTTAATGTCTGTTGAGTAGACCACTCCTTCTGGCTTAGTGACCAGTATTAATTGATGCAGCTTTGACACAGCATCCCCTCCCCCATATCAGTTGAAATGGGTTGGGGACCAAGGAGCTGCTCAGAATTTGCTATGTTATCCCAAAATGACAAGTCCTTCAGACATGAGTACATGTCCCCACAAGTGGCCAGGGAAACTCAGTGCATTACACCTCTTTTTACAGTTATCCCTATTTTACCAGAGAGTGGAAGTTGAGAAGAAGTTTAATAACTCACTTTTGAGTTAATCAGTAAGGCACAGAGACAGAAGGCGCTTCCTTCAAAGGCAGAAGCCCTGCCCTGAGGACTCCCTACTTTCTCTTCCCTAGATTATGAGGACACTTGAACCTTAAGGGAATAGTAGTGTGTTTTGGGCCATGTGGATAATGATCAGTTATGACTTTTAGAGCTGCTGAGTGAATTCACTGCTGGACAGAATCTCATTTCTGTTCCAGATTCCCCCAAGAGAAGAAGGGAGATTACCCTGCAACCTTCCAGGCCTTTTGGCTAGATTGGTAGCATAGGATTCTCTCCCCCAACAGATAATCTCTTTTCATTCTCCACAACAACTCAAAATGGAATTAGGTGGAGAGGGAGGTGAGGAGAGAGAGCTCCATGTACTTAAACACTAATCACCTGTATAACTGTCCCCCAAACCTGTTGATTTGAGTCAGCTTATTTTTGAAAACTGCTTCATTGTATGAGGAGCAGAGGGGGCTAAGGAAAATACCTGTTAAATCTGGGCCAATGAAAGAGCTGAGATATATCTACCAGAGATCAGAGAACCAGAGCTAAGAAAAGGTTCTGGGAAGAACTTCCATATGATGCCAGAGTTTAGGTCCTATTCCTATTAACTTTTCTGGGCCTCAGTTTCCTCCTCTGTAAAATAAGGGGCCTGGATTCCAGGATCTCTATAGCCCTTTCCCACTCTACAGCCTATGATTCAGTGGTCCTGTGACTAGATTTCCAAGGTCCCTTCTACCTCTAAGTAAAGAAATAAGATCTATTCATTCCAGCTCTAAGTAAATAAATAAAATCTATCAAATAAATTGATGATCCTGATTCTACTTAAAATTGTTTGAGGCATCCATCATTTAATTAATCAGCAAGTGTTTATTAAGTGCCTACTATGTGCTGGGCACTGGGTTGCAAAGTAAAGAGGATATAATAATCCCAATTTACAATGAGTATGTGACTCACTTTACTAATCTCCCTGGAGGAGGCTGATTACAAGCAACCCCTTGCCACACCTTCTCACTCTGTGCAACTCTTGTTAAAGCTGAACCATAAATCCTTCATAGCTAGGTAGAGAAGAGTATAAAGGCCTGTAAAAAGGTAAAGGGTTGCATAATTATATTATATTATCATTATTGCTGTAGTTAGTCTGGCTCTGGCAAAATTATCCTAATCTTCCTTTTCCCATCTAGGGGATTTGGGGGCAGAAGAGCAGGGCCCTGGCCCCTGAGCAGGAGGAAAGGGGTGTAGTTCACCTACTTTCTCTCCAGCTGGTTAGACCAGCACCAGTGGTAGAGATAGACCTTTCTAGTCTGTCAGTATCTCTTTTATGGGTGGCTTTTTGTTTTTCTTTCAAAAAAAAAAAAAGTGTGTGTGTGCGTGCGCGCGCGCGCGCGCATGTGAGAGCATGTGTGTCTAGGGAGGCTTCTTCGATCTCCTGGGTGACCTGAAATACCCCCAACATTTACCACCACCAAGAGATTCTGACCAGGATTTATAGGGACTATTTTCAGGGCATCATTAAAACCTATCAAAGATTTCTTTTTTCTCAATGGATCACCCCTGATGCACCTGCTCTTTTTCTTTCAGAGATAATCCTTTTTCAAATTTCACCTGCCGTTAAGAGTCCACTGCTGTTGTCGTTTTTGAAGGACAAACCTGTTTTTCTAGTGATAATTGCATTGGCCATCTGTCTACATCAGCTACCACCTTATCTTCCCTGCCCCCCACCAAATACAATGGGAATAATATTCTGATGCAAAAAATCTGTTGGAAGCCCTAGAACATTTGGTCCATGTTTAATTATATTGCTATTCAAGATGATGGTGACACCAATACATATTTCCTCTTTGGACTTCCTGAAATCCCTTGGCCACAGATCTGAAGAAACAAGGCTCCACATCTTGTTTTGTGAGTTTGTCTATATGCAAGGATTCCAAGGAATTTCTGCGGTCTCTATTTTGGAAGTAATTAGCCCATAGGGGCACTTGGTGTAGTCCAGAGGATACCAACCCCAGAATGAGAGACATCTGATTCAAATCCTACATCTGAGGCATACTGGCTATTTGACCCTGGATTGTTGTTGTCATTGTTGTTGTTGAGTTGTTTCAGTGTTCTGACTCTTCATGACCCTATTTGGAGTTTTTTTGGGGAGCAAAGATAAGTGGTTTGCCATTTCCTTCTCCAGCTCATTTTACAGATGAGGAAACTGAGGCAAACAGGATTGAGTGACTTGCCCAGGGT